GTATGAGTGTTTAGTACAGGTGTACCCTTTGAATATTCATTTCCCTGCCATGCACTCTTTGAATATTGAGGCCCAACCATTCAATCTTTGAATATTCATGTCCTAGCCATACACTCTTCATGTCCTAGTCATACACTCTTTGAACATTCATGTCCTAGTCTTAAATGTCTAGTCATACACGCTTTGAACATTCCTGTCCTAGTCTTAAATGTCTAGTCATACACGCTTTGAACATTCCTGTCCTAGTCTTAAATGTCTAGTCATGCACTCTTTGAACATTCATGTCCTTATAGTTTTAAATGTCCTCGTCATACACTCTATGAATATTCATGTCCCAGTCGTGTACTGCGGCCTCCCCCCTACCATCAACAATGGCGTCCTGAACGTAACGAGCGGGGCTGTCACTAACGGCAGCACGGTGTCCTACGAATGCTTCCGGGGCTTCCGTCAGACCGGCCCTGAGGTGGTCACGTGCTCTCCTGATGGAACCTGGACCGAGAGGCCAACGTGCGAAGGTCAGAAGAAGATAGTACATTGTCGTGTCGTGTCGTGTCGTGTCGTACTTTATGCTCCGTGTGGGGATGTTTCTGTGGCTGTACAGATAAATAATAAAATAAATAAATAAATAAATAAATAAATAAATAAACAAATAAATAAACAAATAAATAAGTTATTTAAAAAAATCAAAACTTTGTTTGTTTGTTTGTTGGTTATTTTATTCTTGCACTTGTTCGCTTTTCACTTGGATAGACTAAGGGAAGCTGGTGTCTCTAGAGGGTCGGGGAGAGACAGCAACCAGGGTGGAAAAGCCAGAAGAATAATTATCAACAAGCTGTTAATTGGCACGATAAACAGGCAGACCCTTTCATGGATACTGGAGAGGATTGAGGAGCAGCTATGGCATTGTGCCTCTTGCAATGACGCCTATTGTCGGTGGCCTAGTGGTTAGGCTCTCGGACTCGCAACCGTAAGGTCGTGGGTTGGAATCCCATCAGGGGCCCAACGTTGAGTCCTTGGGAAAGGCACTTTACACGAATTTTCCTCACTTCACCCAGGTGGGAAATAGGTACCCGGCTTTAGACATCGAAAGATCTTGTCAGTTTGTTAGTGTTTGAGCGCTTAATCAGCTGCTTGCACAGTATGCTTCCCGGGAAGCTGAGAATGTTTCGGAGTGTTCTATGGTCTGCTGGGGTAATAATATAGTGTAAAGCGCATAGAGCCTGCTGTTGAGCGGGGATATGCGCTCTACAAATGCTATTTATTAATTATTCTCCAACCCAAGTAAGTAAGTTCATCACTTAACGTTTCTTTCGTTTCTCTCTCTCTCTCTCCAGCTG